GGGTTTTGGGGGGGGTGATGGTGATGGGGCCGGGGGGGTGATGATGGGGTTGTGGGGGGGTGATGATGGGGTTGGGGGGGTGATGGGGTTTTGGGGGGGGTGATGATGGGGTTGAAGGGGTGATGATGGGGTTGTGGGGGGGGTGATGGGGTTGTGGGGGGGGTGATGATGGGGTTTTGGGGGGGGGTGATGGGGTTTTGGGGGGGTGATGATGGGGTTTGGGGGGTGATGATGGGGTTTGGGGGTGATGATGGGGTTTTGGGGGGGGTGATGGGGTTTTGGGGGGGGTGATGGTGATGGGAGGGGTTTGGGGCCCTCCCCACTCCCCCCCCCAGGTCCCCACAACCTCAGCTGTGTCTCCTACAAGCACCCCAGCGTGCGGGGGGGGCTGGGGGGCGCGGGGGGGGGCCGGGCCCGCATCGTGCGGTGCCCCCCCGGCCACTGCTGCATCGGGATCTGGAACCAGAGCCAGGCGCTGGTGCAGGGTGAGGGGGGGGAGCCTGCCCTATGGGGGGGGCCCGATCCTGCCCTATGGGGGGTGAGGGCCCGATCCTGCCCTATGGGGGGGTTGGGGCTGATCCGGCCTTGGGGGGGGCAGTTTTAGGGATGGGAACCACCCCCCCCCCCCCCCGGTTCCATTCGCGGCTGCCGCTGCCAGGACCTGACCTTGGCCTTGAGCAGTGGGGCCGGGAATGGGGAGGGGGAGGGGAATGAAGGGGGCCTCGATGGGGGGGTCTGAAGGGGGGGGGGACACGGAGAGGGGAGCCCTGGGGGTCCGGGGGGGGGGGGTGAGGGGGTCCTGGATGTGTCCATGGGTAGGTTTGGGGGGTCCCGATTCAGGGGGGTCCCTGGGGCTCCCTCGGGGGGTCGCTGTGTGTCCCTATGGGTCCCGGTGGGTCTCGGTGTGTCCCTATGGGTCCCGGTGGGTCTCGGTGTGTCCCTATGGGTCCCGGTGGGTCGCTGTGGGTCCCTATGGGTCCCGGTGGGTCTCTGTGGGTCCCTATGGGTCCCGGTGGGTCTCTGTGGGTCCCTATGGGTCCCGGTGGGTGGTGGGTCGGGGGGAGGGCCCGATTCCTGGGGGTCTCGTGTGGGGGTCCCTATGGTGGGGCTGTGGGTCCGGCCTTGGGGGGGGTCGCTGTGTGTCCCGGTGGGTCTCTGTGGGTCCCTATGGGTCCCGGTGGGTCTCTGTGGGTCGCTGTGTGTCCCGGTGGTTCCCTGGGGGTCTCGGTGTGTTTCTGTGGGTCCCTGTGGGTCGCTGTGGGTCCCGGTGGGTCCCTGTGGGTCCCCTTGTGACCCTGTTTGTCCCTATGGGTCCCTCTGTGTCCCTATGGGTCCCTGTGTGTCCCTCTGGCTCTCTGTGTGTCCAGTGTGTCCTGGGTCCTTGGCCTTGAGCTCTAGTGGGGCCGGGAATGGGTCTCTATGTGTCTCTAGTGGGGGGGGTCATGAAGGTCCTCGATGGGTCCCTATGGGTCTCTGTGGGGGGGGGGGACCCGGAGAGGGGAGCCCTGGGGGTCCGGGGGGGGGGGAGGGGGTCCTGGATGTGTCCACGGGTAGGTCTGGGAGGGGCCCGATTCAGGGGGGTCCCTGGGGCTCCCTCGGGGGGTCGCTGTGGGTCTCGGTGGGTCTCAATGGGTCCCTATGGGTCCCTATGGGTCCCTATGTGTCTCTATGTGTCTCTATGGGTCCCTATGGGTCTCTATGGGTCCCTATGGGTCTCTATGGGTCTCTATGGGTCCCTATGTGTCTCTATGGGTCTCTATGTGTCTCTATGTGTCTCTATGTGTCCCTATGGGTCTCTATGGGTCCCTATGGGTCCCTATGTGTCCCTATGTGTCCCTATGGGTCCCTATGTGTCTCTATGTGTCTCTATGTGTCTCTATGTGTCTCTATGTGTCTCTATGTGTCTCTATGGGTCTCTCTGGGTCTCTATGGGTCTCTCTGGGTCTCTATGGGTCCCTATGGGTCTCTATGGGTCTCTATGGGTCTCTATGGTCTCTCTATGTGTCTCTATGTGTCCCTATGTGTCTCTATGTGTCTCTATGTGTCTCTATGTGTCTCTATGTGTCTCTATGTGTCTCTATGTGTCTCTATGTGTCTCTATGTGTCTCTATGTGTCCCTATGGGTCCCTATGTGTCCCTATGGGTCTCTATGTGTCTCTATGTGTCTCTATGTGTCCCTATGGGTCTCTATGGGTCTCTATGTGTCCCTATGTGTCCCTATGTGTCTCTATGTGTCTCTATGTGTCTCTCTGTGTCTCTATGGGTCCCTATGGGTCTCTATGTGTCCCTATGTGTCTCTATGTGTCCCTATGTGTCTCTATGTGTCCCTATGTGTCTCTATGTGTCCCTATGTGTCTCTATGTGTCCCTATGTGTCTCTATGTGTCCCTATGTGTCTCTATGTGTCCCTATGTGTCTCTATGTGTCTCTATGTGTCTCTATGGGTCTCTATGGGTCTCTATGTGTCTCTATGTGTCTCTATGTGTCTCTATGTGTCTCTATGTGTCTCTATGTGTCTCTATGTGTCTCTATGTGTCCCTATGTGTCTCTATGTGTCCCTATGGGTCTCTATGTGTCTCTATGTGTCTCTATGGGTCTCTATGTGTCTCTATGTGTCTCTATGTGTCTCTATGTGTCCCTATGTGTCCCTATGTGTCCCTATGTGTCTCTATGTGTCTCTATGTGTCTCTATGTCCCTATGTGTCTCTATGTGTCCCTATGTGTCTCTATGTGTCTCTATGTGTCTCTATGTGTCTCTATGTGTCTCTATGTGTCTCTATGTGTCCCTATGTGTCTCTATGTGTCTCTATGTGTCTCTATGTGTCTCTATGTGTCTCTATGTGTCCCTATGTGTCTCTATGTGTCTCTATGTGTCTCTATGTGTCTCTATGGGTCTCTATGTGTCCCTATGTGTCTCTATGGGTCTCTATGTGTCTCTATGTGTCTCTATGTGTCTCTATGTGTCTCTATGTGTCTCTATGTGTCTCTATGTGTCTCTATGTGTCTCTATGTGTCCCTATGTGTCTCTATGGGTCTCTATGTGTCTCTATGGGTCTCTATGTGTCTCTATGTGTCTCTATGTGTCTCTATGGGTCCCTATGTGTCTCTATGGGTCTCTATGTGTCTCTATGTGTCTATGTGTCTCTATGTGTCTCTATGTGTCTCTATGTGTCTCTATGTGTCTCTATGTGTCTCTATGTGTCTCTATGTGTCTCTATGTGTCCCTATGTGTCTCTATGTGTCTCTATGTGTCTCTATGGGTCCCTATGTGTCTCTATGTGTCTCTATGGGTCCCTATGTGTCTCTATGTGTCTCTATGTGTCTCTATGTGTCTCTATGTGTCTCTATGTGTCTCTATGTGTCCCTATGTGTCTCTATGTGTCTCTATGTGTCTCTATGGGTCCCTATGGGTCCCTATGTGTCTCTATGTGTCTCTATGTGTCTCTATGTGTCCCTATGTGTCTCTATGTGTCTCTATGGGTCTCTATGTGTCTCTATGTGTCGCTATGGGTCCCTATGTGTCTCTATGTGTCTCTATGTCCCTATGTGTCTCTATGGGTCTCTATGGGTCCCTATGGGTCTCACTGGGTCTCCGTGGGTCCCGCAGGCTGCTGGGGGGGCGGGGGCGCCTCCTGCCCCTCCCCGCTGTGCGCCCCCAGCCCCGCGGGGCCCCCGGGCGGCTCCGTCCTCGTGTGCCTGTGCCGGGGAGAGCTCTGCAACGGGAACGGGAACGGGAACGGGAACGGGAACGGAAGGGGGAATGGGGGTAATGGGGTAATGGGGTAATGGGGTAGATGGGGTTATGGGGTAATGGGGGTAATGGGGGTAATGGGGGGATGGGGGTAATGAGGGAATGGGGGAATGGGGGGTAATGGGGGTAATGGGGGAATGGGGGGAATGGGGGAAGGGGGTTATGGGGTAATGGGTTAATGGGGGGCAATGGGGGGGAATGGGGGAATGGGCTAATGGGGGGTAATGGGGGTAATGGGGGGAATGGGGGCAATGGGGGGAATGGGGATGGGGTAATGGGTTAATGGGGTGCAATGGGGAATGGGGGGGGAATAATGGGGGGTAATGGGGGGTTGGGCTAATGGGGGGTAATGGGGGGAATAGGGGAATGGGGGGAATGGGGGAATGGGGGGAATGGGGGAAGGGGGTTATGGGGTAATGGGTTAATGGGGGGCATTGGGGGCAATGGGGGGGGGGATGGGAGTAATGGGGCTTATGGGGGAATGGGGGAATGGGGGTAATGGGGGGAATAGGGTAGTGGTTGCAAAGGGGAGCAGTGGGGGGTAATGGGGGTAATGGAAATGGGGGACAATGGGGTAATGGGTGCAAAAGGGGGCAATGGGGGGCAATGGGGGTAAAGAGGGTAATGGGGGAAATGGTGCAATGGGGGTAATGGGGGGCAATGGGGGTAATGGGGGTAATGGGATAATGAGGGTAATGGGGGCAATGGGGGTAATGGGGTGCAAGGGATGGGAGCCACTGGGGTCACTTGGGGAGGACCCTGAGACCCTCAGTGGACCCATTGGGGGTGGCTTGGGACCCTTAGGGGTCCCCTAGGGGTGGGATATGGGGCCCATAAGGGACCCATGGGGAGGGAGAGGGGACCTATAGGGAACCCCTGGGAGGTGGGAGACCGGGGGGGGGTCTATGGGGGGTTGGTGCCGGGACCTCTAGGGGGCTGTGGGGGCTATGGGGGGGCTGTGGGGCCCATGGGGGGGCTGTGGGGCCCATGGGGGGGCTGTGCGGATCATGGGGGGGCTGTGGGGCCCATGGGGGGGCTGTGGGGATCATGGGGGGGCTGTGGGGATCATGGGGGGGCTGTGAGGCCCATGGGGGGGCTGTGGGGCCCATGGGGGGGCTGTGGGGATCATGGGGGGGGCTGTGGGGCCCATGGGGGGGCTGTGGGGATCATGGGGGGGCTGTGGGGCCCATGGGGGGGCTGTGGGGATCATGGGGGGGCTGTGGGGCCCATGGGGGGGCTGTGGGGCCCATGGGGGGGCTGTGCGGATCATGGGGGGGCTGTGGGGCCCATGGGGGGGCTGTGGGGATCATGGGGGGGCTGTGGGGATCATGGGGGGGCTGTGAGGCCCATGGGGGGGCTGTGGGGCCCATGGGGGGGCTGTGGGGCCCATGGGGGGGCTTTGGGGATCATGGGGGGCTGTGGGGGCCATGGGGGGGCTGTGCGGATCATGGGGGGGCTGTGGGGCCCATGGGGGGGCTGTGGGGATCATGGGGGGGCTGTGGGGGCCATGGGGGGGCTGTGGGGGCCATGGGGGGGCTGTGGGGCCCATGGGGGGGCTGTGAGGCCCATGGGGGGGCTGTGGGGACCATGGGGGGGCTGTGCGGATCATGGGGGGGCTGTGGGGGCCATGGGGGGGCTGTGGGGATCATGGGGGGGCTGTGGGGCCCATGGGGGGGCTGTGGGGCCCATGGGGGGGCTGTGGGGGCCATGGGGGGGCTGTGCGGATCATGGCATCTATGGGGCGCCTCTATGGGGCTGAGGAGCCGGCGTCACCGCAGCCCTGTCCTCAGGGCCCGGCCGCGCGGGGGCGCTGTGGCTGTGGGGCGCCGGCCCCCTCCTGCTCCTCCTCGCCTGCCTCTGCGTCCTCGGTAGGGATGGGGGGCACCGGGGATGGGGGGGGGACACATGGGGACCCCCGGGCACAGCCCCCCCCCCCTCCCCTTGTCCCCAATGGGGGGCTCCTGGGGGTCCCCCGCTCCCGCGTTATGGGGGTCCCGGGGGGGGTCCCTGTGCCCCACAAGTCCCCGTTCCAGGGCTGCGCCGGGCCAGGGCCCGCAGGGGGCGGCCACGTCAAGGGGGGAGCGGGGCCCCCCCCGAGCCCCCCAGCCCGGAGCTGCCTGCGCTGCGCTTCCTGAAGGTGGGGGGCACCCATGGGGGGGGCACCCAATGGTGAAGGGGGGGCACCCATGGGGGGGGAGGGCACCCAATGGTGGGGGGGGGGGGGCACCCACCCAATGGTGAGGGGGGGCACCCATGGGGGGGGGCACCCAATGGTTGGGCTGGGCACCCATGGGGGGGGCACCCAATGGTGGAGGGAGCACCCATGGGGGGGGGCACCCAATGGTGGGGGGTGGCACCCATGAGGGGTGCACCCAATGGTGAGGGGGGGCACCCATGGGGGGGGCACCCAATGGTGGAGGGGGCGCCCATGGGGGGGGGCACCCAATGGTGGGGGGAGGAACCCATGGGGGCGGGAGGGCACCCAATTGGGGGGAGGGGCACTCATGGGGGGGGGCACCCAATGGTGAGGGGGGGCACCCATGGGGGGGGCACCCAATGGTGGGGGGAGGAACCCATGGGGGCGGGAGGGCACCCAATTGGGGGGAGGGGCACTCATGGGGGGGGGCACCCAATGGTGGGGGTGGGCACCCATGGGGGGGGCACCCAATGGTGGGGTGGGCATCCATGGGGGGGGGCACCCAATGGTGGGGGGTGGCACCCAAGGGGGGGGGCACCCAATGGTTGGGGTGGGCACCCATGGGGGGGGCACCCAATGGTGGGGTGGGGGGGCGCCCAATGGTTGGGGGGGGCACCCATGGGGGGGGCACCCAATGGTGGGGTGGGGGGGCACCCAATGGGGGGGGGGCACCCATGGGGGGGCACCCATGGGGGGGGCACCTACTGGTGGGGGTCCCTGTCCCGGTCTATGGGGCGCTGTTTGTGGGGGTCCGGGTCCCGGTGCTATGGGGTGTGCGGGTGCTGTAGGGGTCCTTGTCCCGGTGCTATGGGGTGTGCGGGTGCTGTGGGGGTCCGGGTCCCGGTGCTATGGGGTGTGCGGGTGCTGTGGGGGTCCTTGTCCCGGTGCTATGGGGTGTGCGGGTGCTGTAGGGGTCCTTGTCCCGGTGCTATGGGGTGTGCGGGTGCTGTGGGGGTCCGGGTCCCGGTGCTATGGGGTGTGCGGGTGCTGTGGGGGTCCTTGTCCCGGTGCTATGGGGTGTGCGGGTGCGGTGGGGGTCCGGGTCCCGGTGCTATGGGGTGTGCGGGTGCTGTGGGGGTCCGGGTCCCGGTGCTATGGGGTGTGCGGGTGCTGTGGGGGTCCTTGTCCCGGTGCTATGGGGTGTGCGGGTGCTGTGGGGGTCCGGGTCCCGGTGCTATGGGGTGTGCGGGTGCTGTGGGGGTCCGGGTCCCGGTGCTATGGGGTGTGCGGGTGCTGTGGGGGTCCTTGTCCCGGTGCTATGGGGTGTGCGGGTGCTGTGGGGGTCCTTGTCCCGGTGCTATGGGGTGTGCGGGTGTTGTGGGGGTCCGGGTCCCGGTGCTATGGGGTGTGCGGGTGTTGTGGGGGTCCGGGTCCCGGTGCTATGGGGTGTGCGGGTGCTGTGGGGGTCCTTGTCCCGGTGCTATGGGGTGTGCGGGTGCTGTAGGGGTCCTTGTCCCGGTGCTATGGGGTGTGCGGGTGCTGTGGGGGTCCTTGTCCCGGTGCTATGGGGTGTGCGGGTGCTGTAGGGGTCCTTGTCCCGGTGCTATGGGGTGTGCGGGTGCTGTGGGGGTCCTTGTCCCGGTGCTATGGGGTGTGCGGGTGCTGTGGGTCCCTGTCTCTCTCTATGGTTCCCTGTCCCGGTCTATGGGGCCATGGGGTTCATGGGAGGCCACCGTCGGGTCCCTGGCCCTGTCCCTGGGTCGCTGCCGCTCGGTGCCACTCGGGGGCGCTGTCCCGCCCCATGGCTTCACTGTCCCGCCCCATAGCTGCACTGTCCCCCCCCCCATTACTGCACTGTCCCGCCCCATGGCTGCACTGTCCCCCCATTACTGCACTGTCCCGCCCCATGGCTGCACTGTCCCCCCATTACTGCACTGTCCCGCCCCATAGCTGCACTGTCCCCCCATTACTGCACTGTCCCGCCCCATAGCTGCACTGTCCCCCCATTACTGCACTGTCCCGCCCCATGGCTGCACTGTCCCCCCATTACTGCCCCCCATTACTGCACTGTCCCGCCCCATAGCTGCACTGTCCCCCCCCCCTCCATTACTGCACTGTCCCGCCCCATGGCTGCACTGTCCCCCCATTACTGCACTGTCCCGCCCCATGGCTGCACTGTCCCCCCCCTCCATTACTGCACTATCCCTATGGCTCCCCCATTACTGCCCTGTCCCCTCCATGGCTGCACTGTCCCTATGGCTCCTCTGTCCCTATTGCTCCCCATTATTGCCCTGTCCCTATGGCTCCCCCCATGGCTCTCCCCATAGTTCCCCATAGCTCCCATACAGTTCCTCATAGCTCCCCCACAGCTCCCCATAGCTCCCCACAGCTCCCCACAGCTCCCCCATAGCTCCCCATAGCTCTCCCCATAGCTCTCCCCACAGCTCCCCCATAGCTCTCCCCATAGCTCTCCCCATAGCTCTCTCCCCATAGCTCTCCCCATAGCTCTCTCTCCCCATAGCTCTCTCCCCATAGCTCTCCCCATAGCTCTCCCCATAGCTCTCTCCACAGCTCCCCACAGCTCCCCCCACAGCTCCCCCATAGCTCCCCATAGCTCCCCATAGCTCTCCCCACACCTCCCCCATAGCTCTCTCTCCCCCCCGCTCTCTCTCCCCCCGCTCCCCCGCCCCCCCGCAGGCTCTGCCCCGGGGCCGTTTCCCCCCGCTGGGGCCGGGCTCTCCCCGCCCCCCCCCGCTCCCTCCCCGGGCGCTCGGGGCCGCGCGGGTCGCGGGGGGGCGCTGGGGGCCGGCGCTGCTGCGGGGGGGGAGCCTCGGGATGAAGCTGAGGCCCAAGGTGAGCTCCCAGGGGGGATGGGGGTGGACGTGGGGTACCCATAGGGTGCTGGGGGTGCATGGGGTGCTGGGGGTGCTGGGGGTGCTGGGGGTGCTCTGGGTGCACGTGGGTGCTGGGGGTACTGGGGGTGTGCATGGGGTGCTGGGGGTGCACATGGGTGCTGGGGGTGCACATGGGTGATGGGGGTGGACATGGGTGCTGGGGGTGCACATGGGTGCTGGGGGTGGACATGGGTGATGGGGGTGCACATGGGGTGCTGGGGGTGCTGGGGGTGTGCATGGGTGATGGGGTGCACATGGGTGCTGGGGGTGCACGTGGGGTGCTGGGGGGTGCACATGGGTGCTGGGGGTGCACATGGGGTGCTTGGGGTGTGGGTGCTGGGGGTGCACATGGGTGCTGGGGGTGGACACGGGTGCTGGGGGTGCACATGTGTAGCTGGGGGTGCACATGGGTGCTGGGGGTGGACACGGGTGCTGGGGGTGCACATGGGTGCTGGGGGTGGACATGGGTGCTGGGGGTGGACATGGGTGCTGGGGGTGCACATGGGTGATGGGGGTGGACGTGGGTGCTGGGGGTGCACATGGGTGCTGGGGGTGCACATGGGTGATGGGGGTGCACATGGGTGATGGGGGTGGACATGGGTGCTGGGGGTGCACATGGGTGCTGGGGGTGCACGTGGGGTGCTGGGGGGTGCACATGGGTGCTGGGGGTGCACATGGGTGCTGGGGGTGCACATGGGGTGCTGCAGGTGCACATGGGTGCTGGGGGTGCACATGGGTGCTGGGGGTGCACATGGGTGATGGGGGTGGACATGGGTGCTGGGGGGTACTGGGGGTGCTGGGGGTGCTGGGGGTGCTGGGGGTGCTCTGGGTGCACATGGGGTGCTGAGGGTGGACATGGGATGCTGGGAGTGCTGTGGGTGCTGTGGGTGGACATGGGGTGCTGGGGGTGCACGGGGGTGCACGGGGGATGTGCATGGGGTGCTGGGGGTGCACATAGGTGCTGGGAGTGCTGGGGGTGAACATGGGTGCTGGGGGGGGTGCTGGGGGTGGACATGGGGTGCACATGGAGTGTACATGGGTGCTGTGGGTGTACATGGGGTGCTGGGTGTGCTGGGGGTGGACATGGGTGTACATGAGGTGTACATGGGGTGCTGTGGGTTCACATGGGTGTACATGGGGGCTGCTGTGGGTGTGCATGGGGTGCCTGTGGGTTCCCATGGGTGCACATGGGCTGCACATGGGGTGCTGGGGGTTCCCATGGGGTGCTGGTGCTGTTCAGGGTGCACACACGTGTGCCAAAGCCACTGTGGCTGCCCATGGCCATCACACACCAACACACGTGTCCCCATGTGTGTCCCCATGTGTCCCCATGTGTGTCCCCATGTGTCCCTATGTGTGTCCCCATGTGTGTCCCCATGTGTGTCCCCATGTGTGTCCCCATGTGTCCCCATGTGTGTCCTCATGTGTGTCCTCATGTGTGTCCCCATGTGTCCCCATGTGTCCCCATGTGTGTCCCCATGTGTGTCCCCATGTGTGTCCCCATGTGTGTCCCCATGTGTCCTCATGTGTGTCCTCATGTGTGTCCTCATGTGTGTCCCCATGTGTCCCCATGTGTGCCCATGTGTGTCCCCATGTGTGTCCCCATGTGTGTCCTCATGTGTGTCCCCATGTGTGTCCTCATGTGTCCCCATGTGTCCCCATGTGTGTCCCCATGTGTGTCCCCATGTGTGTCTCCATGTGTCCTCATGTGTGTCCCCATGTGTGTCCCCATGTGTCCCCATGTGTGTCCCCATGTGTGTCCCCATGTGTCCCCATGTGTCCTCATGTGTGTCCCCATGTGTGTCCCCATGTGTCCCCATGTGTGTCCCCATGTGTGTCCCCATGTGTCCCCATGTGTGTCCCCATGTGTGTCCCCATGTGTGTCCCCATGTGTGTCCCCATGTGTGTCCTCATGTGTGTCCCCATGTGTGTCCCCATGTGTCCCCATGTGTGTCCCCATGTGTGTCCCCATGTGTGTCCCCATGTGTCCCCATGTGTCCCCATGTGTGTCCCCATGTGTGTCCCCATGTGTGTCCCCATGTGTCCCCATGTGTGTCCCCATGTGTGTCCCCATGTGTGTCCCCATGTGTCCCCATGTGTGTCCCCATGTGTGTCCCCATGTGTGTCCCCATGTGTGTCCCCATGTGTGTCCCCATGTGTCCCCATGTGTGTCCCCATGTGTGTCCCCATGTGTCCCCATGTGTGTCCCCATGTGTCCCCATGTGTGTCCCCATGTGTCCCCATGTGTGTCCCCATGTGTGTCCCCATGTGTGTCCCCATGTGTCCCCATGTGTCCCCATGTGTGTCCCCATGTGTGTCCTCATGTGTGTCCCCATGTGTCCCCATGTGTGTCCTCATGTGTGTCCCCATGTGTCCCCATGTGTGTCCCCATGTGTCCTCATGTGTGTCCCCATGTGTGTCCCCATGTGTCCCCATGTGTGTCCCCATGTGTGTCCTCATGTGTGTCCCCATGTGTGTCCCCATGTGTGTCCTCATGTGTGTCCCCATGTGTCCCCATGTGTGTCCCCATGTGTGTCCTCATGTGTGTCCCCATGTGTGTCCCCATGTGTGTCCCCATGTGTGTCCCCATGTGTCCCCATGTGTGTCCCCATGTGTGTGCCCACCCGTGTCCCCATGTGTGTCCCCATGTGTGTCCCCATGTGTGTCCCCATGTGTCCCCATGTGTGTCCCCATGTGTGTCCCCATGTGTGTCCCCATGTGTCCCCATGTGTGTCCCCATGTGTGTCCCCATGTGTCCCCATGTGTGTCCCCATGTGTGTCCCCATGTGTCCCCATATGTCCCCATGTGTGTCCCCATGTGTGTCCCCATGTGTCCCCATGTGTGTCCCCCTGTGTGTCCCCATGTGTGTCCCCATGTGTGTCCCCATGTGTGTCCCCATGTGTCCCCATGTGTGTCCCCATGTGTGTCCCCATGTGTCCCCATGTGTGTCCCCATGTGTGTCCCCATGTGTCCCCAGGTGTGTCCCCATGTGTGTCCCCATGTGTCCCCATGTGTCCCCATGTGTCCCCATGCGTGTCCCCATGTGTGTCCCCATGTGTGTCCCCATGTGTGTCCCCATGTGTCCCCATGTGTCCTCATGTGTGTCCTCATGTGTGTCCCCATGTGTGTCTCCATGTGTCCTCATGTGTGTCCCCATGTGTCCCCATGTGTCCCCATGTGTCCCCATGTGTGTCCTCATGTGTGTCCTCATGTGTGTCCTCATGTGTCCCCCTGTGTGTCCTCATGTGTCCCCATGTGTCCCCATGTGTGTCCCCATGTGTCCCCATGTGTGTCCTCATGTGTCCCCATGTGTCCCCATGTGTGTCCCCATGTGTGTCCCCATGTGTGTCCCCATGTGTCCTCATGTGTGTCCTCATGTGTGTCCCCATGTGTGTCCCCATGTGTCCCCATGTGTGTCCCCATGTGTGTCCCCATGTGTGTCCCCATGTGTCCCCATGTGTGTCCCCATGTGTGTCCCCATGTCCCCATGTGTCCCCATGTGTGTCCCCATGTGTGTCCCCATGTCCCCATGTATCCCCATGTGTGTCCCCACATGTTGTGTGTGTGTCCCCATGTGTGTCCCCATGTGTGTCCCCATGTATCCCCATGTGTGTCCCCACATGTTGTGTGTGTGTCCCCATGTGTGTCCCCATGTGTGTCCCCATGTGTGTCCCCATGTGTCCCCATGTGTGTCCCCATGTGTCCCCATATGTCCCCATGTGTATCCCCATGCGTGTCCCCACATGTTGTGTGTGTGTCCCCATGTGTCCCCCCCAGGGCTCCCTGCGGCCCTCCCCGCCTCACCACGTTGGTACCTGTGCGGGCAGCGTGTCCCCGGCGCGGGGCTTGGCCTCCCTGCCCCGGGAGCTGCGGCGCGATGGTGAGCCCCGGAGCACCCCATGGGGGTCCCGTCCCCCCCCGCACCCCCTGCATCACCCCCGTGCCCCCCCCAGGTCTCTCCAAGCCCAGCGGGGTTCACCGGGACCTGAGCATCCGGAACGCGCTGGTGCGGGACGGCGGCACCTCCGCCATCGCCATCGGGGTGCAGGGGGGAGCCACGGCCCCACGGGGGGGACCCATCCGCAAGGTGATGGCGTGGGGGGGGGACGGGGATGGGGATGGGGATGGGGATGGGGATGGGAACAGGGATGGGGATGGAGATGGGAACGGGGATGGAGACTGGGATGGGGACAGGGATGGGGACAGGGATGGGGACAGGGATAGCGTTGAGACAGGGATGGGGATGGAGATGGGAACGGGGATGGAGATGGGAACAGGGATGGAGACTGGGATGGGGATGGAGACTGGGGTGGGGATGGAGAGTGGATGAGAACAGGGATGGGGACAGGGATGGGAATGGAGAGTGGATGGGAACAGGGATGGGGATGGGGATGGGAATGGAGAATGGGGTGAGGATGGAGAGTGGATGGGAATAGGGATGGGGACAGGGATGGGGACAGGGATGGGGATAGAGACTGGGATGGAGCCTGGGATGGGGACAGGGATGGGGATGGGGATAGCGTTGAGACAGGGATGGGGATGGAGACAGGGATGGGATGGAGACAGGGATGGGGATGGAGACAGGGATGGGATGGAGACAGGGATGGAGACAGGGATAGGGGATGGAGACAGGGATGGGGATGGAGACAGGGATGGAGACAGGGATGGGAACAGGGATGGGGACGGGGATGGGGATGGAGACTGGGGTGGGGATGGAGAGTGGATGGGAACAGGGATGGGGATGGGGATGGGAATGGAGACGGGTGAGGATGGAGAGTGGATGAGAACAGGGATGGGGATGGGGATGGGAATGGAGACTGGGGTGGGGATGGAGAGTGGATGGGAATAGGGATGGGGACAGGGATGGGGATGGAGAGTGGATGGGAACAGGAATGGGGACAGGGATGGGATGGAGACTGGATGGGAACAGGGATGGAGACAGGGATGGGATGCAGACAGGGATGGGGATGGAGAGTGGATGGGAACAGGGATGGGGATGGAGACAGGGGTGGAGACAGGGATGGGGACAGGGATGGGAACAGGGATGGGGAAGGGAGCGGGGATGGGAACAGGGATGGAGACAGGGATGGAGACAGGGATGGGGATGGAGACAGGGATGGGGATGGAGACAGGGATAGGGGATGGAGACAGGGATGGGGATGGAGACAGGGATGGGGATGGAGACAGGGATGGGGATGGAGAGTGGATGGGAACAGGGATGGAGACGGTTGGGGATGGAGAGTGGATGGGAACAGGGATGGGGACAGGGATGGGATGCAGACAGGGATGGGGATGGAGAGTGGATGGGAACAGGGATGGGGATGGGGATAGAGATGGGGATGTGGTGGGGTGGGGTGGAGACAGGGATGGGGAAGAGGACAGGGATAGGTTTGAGACAGGGATGGGGATGGAGACTGGATGGGAACAAGGACAGGGACAGGGATGGGACACAGACAGGGATGGGGGTGGGATGGGGATGGGGATAGAGATGGGGATGTGATGGGGTGGAGTCAGGGATGAGGATGAGGACAGGGATAGGATTGAGACAGGGATGGGGATGGGGATGGAGATGGGAATGCAGATGGAGATGGGGACAGGGGTAGGATTGAGACAGGGATGGGGATAGAAAGGTGATGAGGATGGGATGCGAATGGGGATGGAGGTAGGATAGGAGGAAGGATGGGGATAGAGATGGGGATGCAGATGGAGCTGGAGATGGGGACAGGTATAGGATTGAGACAGGGATGGGAATGGAGATGGGGACAGGGATGGAGATGGGGACAGGGACAGAATTGAGATAGGGGTGGGGATGGAGATGGGGATGCTGATGGACATGGAGATGGGGACAGAGCCAGAATTGAGACAGGGATGGGGATGGGATGGGGACATGGATAGGATTGAGACATGGGTGGGGATGGGATGAGAATGGAGATGGGGACAGGGCTGGGGATGGGGTGGGGACATGGATAGGATTGAGACATGGGTGGGGCTGGGAAGGGGCTGGGATGATGGGATGAGAACAAGGATGGGGCCAGGGATGGGGATGGGGCCGGGGACGTGACAGGGCCAGGAGCCCCGCACGCTGCCTGCGGCGTGGGCACAGAGCCGAGCCCCGGTACCCATGAAGCGCCCTGTGCTGCCCGGGCCGGGCCGGGGGGGGCTCTGCTCGGCTCCAGGTGGGCACGCAGCGGTACCTGGCCCCCGAGATCCCGGACGAGAGCCTGGACCTGCGCTCCTGGGGCCGGGCGCTGCTGCAGGCCGATGTGTACGCGCTGGCGCTGCTGCTCTGGCAGATCCTGTCCCGCGGCCAGGCCCTGAGCCCCGGTGAGCGCACGGGGATGCTCTGCCCGCATCCCCGCATCCCCCGCCCTGCATCCCCTGCCCCGCATCCCCGCATCCCGCATCCCCTGCCCCGCATCCCCTGCCCTGCATCCCCCACCCTGCATCCCCGCATCCCCCGCCCCGCATCCCCCGCCCCACATCCCCTGCCCCGCATCCCCCTCCCCGCATCCCCTGCCCCGCATCCCCCGCATCCTGCATCCCCTGCCCCGCATCCCCCCCCCGCATCCCCTGCCCCGCATCCCCGCGCCGCATCCCCCACCCCGCATCCCCTGCCCCGCATCCCTGCATCCCCTGCCCCGCATCCCCGCCCCGCATCCCCCTCCCCACATCCCCGCCCCGCATCCCCTGCCCCACATCCCCGCCCCACATCCCCGCATCCCCACATCCCCTGCCCCGCATCCCCTGCCCCGCATCCTGCATCCCCTGCTCCGCATCCCCGCCCCTCATCCCCTACCCCGCATCCCTTGCCCCGCATCCCCCCCCCGCATCCCCTGCCCCGCATCCCCGCCCGCATCCCCCACCCCGCATCCCCTGCCCCGCATCCCTTCCCCTGCCCCGCATCCCCGCCCCGCATCCCCCTCCCCGCATCCCCGCGCCGCATCCCCCACCCCGCATCCCCTGCCCCACATCCCCGCATCCCCTGCCCCGCATCCCCCGCCCCGCATCCCCTGCCCTGCATCCCCGCATCCCCGCCCCGCCTTCACCCGCTCCGGCCCCGCAGGAGCCCCGGTGCCCGCTTTCCGCCTCGCCTACGGGGCCGAGCTGGGCTCCAGCCCCACGGGGCCGCAGCTCCGCCGCTTGCCCGCGGACGAGGGGCGCCGGCCGCTGATCCCCCCCGCCTGGCCCCGAACCCCGCAGGTCGGCCCCGGCCCGCGCCCATTGGGGAGGGGGGTCCGTGATGGGGGGGTCCCTGTGTGGGTGCACGGGGGGGGTTTGGGGGTGCCCGGGGTGTTTGGGGGTGCTCGTGATGGGGGGGTCCTTGTGTTTGGGGGTGCCCGGGGTGTTTGGGGGTGCCCATGATGGAGGGGTCCCTGTCTGGGTGCACAGGGGGGGTTTGGGGGTGCCCTTGTGGGGGTTTCGGGGTATTGGGGGGTGCCCGTGATGGGGGGGGTCCTTGTGTTTGGGGGTCCTCGGGGTGTTTGGGGGTGCCCTTTGTGGGTGCACAGGGGGTGCCCGGCGTGTTTGGGGGTGTCCGTGATGGGGGGGGTCCTTGTGTTTGGGGGTTCCCGGGGTGTTTGGGGGTGCCCGTGATGGGGGGGGTCCTTGTGTTTGGGGGTCCTCGGGGTGTTTGGGGGTGCCCTTTGTGGGTGCACAGGGGGTGCCCGGCGTGTTTGGGGGTGTCCGTGATGGGGGGGGTCCTTGTGTTTGGGGGTGCCCGGGGTGTTTGGGGGTGCCCTGTGTGGGTGCACAGGGGGTGTTGGGGATGGCCGGGGTGTTTGGGGGTATTGGGGGTGCCCGGGGTGTTTGGGGGTGCTCGTGATGGGGGGGGTCCTTGTGTTTGGGGGTGCCCGGGGTGTTTGGGGGTGCCCATGATGGAGGGGTCCCTGTCTGGGTGCACGGGGGGGGTTGGGGGTGCCCGCGGTGTTTCGGGGTATTGGGGGTGCCCGTGATGGGGGGGTTCCTTGTGTTTGGGGGTCCTCGGGGTGTTTGGGGGTGCCCGTGATGGGGGGGGTCCCTGTGTGGGTGCACAGGGGGTGTTGGGGATGGCCGGGGTGTTTGGGGGTGCTCGTGATGGGGGGATGTCCTTGTGTTTGATGGTTCCCAGGTTGTTTGGGGGTGCAACGTGATGGGTGGGGTTGTGTTTGGGGTGCCCGGGGTGCTGGGGGTGCCCATGATGGGGGAGTCCCTGTGTGGGTGCATGGGGGGTGTTTGGGGTGCCCGGGGTGTTTGGGGGTGCCCGTGATGGGGGGGTCCCTGTGTGGGTGCACAGGGGGTGTTGGGGGTGCCCGGGGTGTTTGGGGGTGCCCATGATGGAGGAGTCCGTACCCAGCCGCCCAGGGGTGTTTGGGGGCGCTATGGGGTGACCCAGGAGGGATCCATGCCCAGGGAGTCCCAGGGTTTTTTGGGGGTGACCAGCGGGGTCCCCGCCATGGGGGTGCCCCTGTTCGGGGGGGGGAATCGTATCCCTGTTTGTGGGACCCGCAGCATGGGGGGGTCCCTGCTCGGGGGTTCCTGTTTGGGGGGGTCCCTGTTTGGGGGGGGTCCCTGCTCTGGGGCTCATGTTCAGGGGGGTCCCTGTTTGGGGGTCCCTTTTAGGGGGGGTCCCTTTGGGGGAGTCCCTGTTTGGGGGGATCCCTGTTTTGGGGGGGCCCTGTTTGGGGGGGCCCTGCTCTGGGGCATTGTTCAGGGGGGTCCCTGTTTGGAGGTCCCGTTTCGAGGGGGTCCCTTTGGGGGAGTCCCTGTTTGGGGGAGTCCCTGTTTGGGGGGGTCCCTGTTTTGGGGGGCCCCTGTTCGGAGGGGTTCCTGTTTGGGGGAGTCCCTGTTTGGGGTTCATGTTCAGGGGGGTCCCTGTTTGGGGTCCCTGCTCTGGGGGGGGCCCTGTTTTGGAGGGGTCCCTGCTCTGGGAGGTCCCTGTTTTGGGGGGTCCCTATTTGGGGGGGCCTGGGGGGGGGGTCCCTGTTTGGGGGGGTCCTTGTTCGGGGGGGTCGTTGCTCTGGGGGTCCCTGTTTTGGGGGGGGTCCCTGTTTGGGGGGGCCCTGTTTGGGGGGGTCCCTGTTTGGAGGGGTCCCTGCTCTGGGGGTCCCTGTTTTGGGGGGGTCCCTGTTTTGGGGGGGGTCCCTGCTCTGGGGGTCCCTGTTTTG